CCACATGTCTCCAAAAGATTGCAAGCAACATCAATATTATGATGAGTGAAATCATCCAAACAAGCCTGGTACAGTTAAAAGTATTTACGCATAGTCAAAAAACTTATGTGAATTCTTTGTAAAGTAATAGCTTAAATCTAGAATTGTCTTCAAACACAAATTTATGTTCTCATAGGACCAATGAAATGATAGCAAAGAGATGATTGCTTCTGACTTGGATGGCTTTGAAAAAGAAATATCATTTCAGATAAACAGAATCAATATTTAATAATCCACAATTAGAACTTAGCAGTCTACACATATGAACTAGGTTCTTTGCACGTACCTTCAGGCAACTAAAAACAAGGCCAGGTTGTGCAATTCTGAACTTACAGAGCTCTCCAATAAATCTAATATTTCTTATCTTTGTTTCGATGTTCATTTGATCCTGCAGCCAATTTCATATTTTAAATATAGATAATATACTGCTAAAAAGAAAAAGGAAATCAAGGTATGAGCTGACCAATATCCAGGTAACAGACCTTTTTATTTATTAAGAAGTTGAACTCTTCCTCCAACATCTGTAAGAGGATGGAAGGGATGTCCTTCATGCACATTGATAAGGTAGCTACCATGCGTGAATAGTATGGCAACAATTCCAAAGATGTCCTTGGGACATTAAACAAGGCTCTAACAAGCCTTTTGCGATTTGACTTTGAATTTAAATAGCAGAACTCAACCTGAAACACCAATAAACAGTAATGTCTTCTACAGGAGTGATTGATACCAAACTTTAAAAAGGGGCATAAAAGGTGAAGGTATAATTACAGTCGATTGATCAATAAGGTCACGGCTCACACAACCCGGGAGTCTTTGCAGCAAAGCGTCCAAATTTGTCCCATCAGGACCTTTGAGTTTCTCCTTTTCACTTTCTGCTTTTCTGTCTGAATCTTTTTCTTTACCTTTTTCCTTGTCTGGATCCTTAATCCTTTCATTATCTTTCTCTTCTCTCTCCTTTCCTTTCTCTATGGTTTTTGATTCCTGTAAATTGCCTGAGTCTGTAGAAACCTCAGTGGTATCTTGGGAAGCCAATGTGCTTTGATCTGCTTCAGCAGCAGGTTCCTTTAAAAACAAAGGAATGTTCAATTTCATTAGAAAACCATTAAAAATGATATTTTGACAAAAGAAGGAAACACCTTAAATATATTAATGTAGACATGGAATGAAGGTCCCATTTAGGTCTGGTGCTTGGGCACTAAAAGTTATATATACATCACTGTTAAGTGGTTAAAAGACAAAGAAAACTCCAGAAGGCACCATAGGTCAAGGTATTAATTAAATTGAAACATAAAATTAACAAGAACCTGGACACACAAACAAGGACAAATCTCAAACATGAAACATTAGAAATGCAGTTTCTGTACTTCATAGAAACAAACCAAAATGAAAAATAACAAACATAAAACACATAAATCCATTGGCAATACAACACTCTACACAAATAGCCTAAGATAAATTTCAAAGTTTTCACTGCTTACAGTTGATTGCTCTTGTGACTTTGCAGATTGTTCATTTGCTTTTGGCTCAGCTTCTCCCAATAATACTGCTGGAACAAATGCTCTGAAAGCAAAGAAATTTTACTTCCAAAATCAAGAAATAGTTCTACCATAGTTGGCCCCTATTTAATAAGGAATGTCTTTCCTCAGGTAACCGAGTATAAACTTCAACAAACCTAAGATCTGGTAAGCATTCATAGAAGGCCCTAGTGTCTTCATCATCCCATATAGCTTCAACTGTGGAAGAATCTTTTCCAGCAGTAGATGAAGCATCCTCTCCGCTAGTCACCCTTGTTGTGTGACCATCCTCAGGCATTACTGGTGGCTGCATATCAAGTGCTTCTGCCAAACTGTCACGTACAAACATGCAGATGCAGTCAGGACTCAAGAAGACAACAACATTAGACACTAGTTGTGAAAGCATCAAACCAACACGTGAAACTCAATATCAAGTGATCAGACATGCCAGCCTAGTTGCTAACTGTATAAAGACCACCCACAAAAATGACGTTACAAAACAACTCACGATGACATATTACGGAACAGATGATCGTAAGATTTCCGCAGCTTTTCATAAGAAGAGACATTTTCTTCACTGAGTTCCCCTTTAGCATTCAGAATCTTAGCATTTTCCTGCTCCATGCAGCAAAGAGACTGTAAAAGGTAAACTAAGAGTCATCAATAGGACCCATTACAAAAGAGGAAAAGCAGGAAAGGAAACAAGTTCCCCATCCAACTAAGGACAAAACAAATACAAATAAGAGATAGGGTAGGGCTATAATTTTTGTCAAAAAAGAAAACTACAGAAAGGTTTTAATTTGAACACTTACAGCATGCTCAGAATGAAGAAGTTCTGTGATAGCATCATAGTATGTATGAAATGTCTTCCTTAAAGTTCTCTTCTGATCTGTTGTGATATTAAGGCCCTTAAAAAACTGTACAAAAGGTCAGGAGAGAGACAAGGGAAGAAGGGCTCCTTATTAAAACATGCTACATTATCAAGCTATAGCCACTAAAGCAAGATAGCAGCCAGCCCTCCCAAAGAAAAAGATAATCAGCTAAAGAAAGCATTAACAAATCATGGCAACTCATCATTTTGAATGAAAAATAAAAAGAGCTATGCAGGAACTATCCAAGATCATTAAGTATGACATCATTTGGAAGCTAAAGAAAAGAAGACATACCTCTTCTTGAATTTCTTGACCAGAAAGAGGAAGTCCTAGAAAGACTCTCCCTTGTCGAGCAAAACTTGCAAGAAGGGTCAAATTTGTTTGAGTGGCATCTCGGTCCTTTAAATGTTCTACACTTGTAAGATCCTTTATTATATTGATAAAAATTCCACTGTCTTCTATAACACCAACAAAGAAAAGTTCCAAGAGAAGTTTTAAAGTGCTGCGCTTCTTCATGGCCTTTGAGTTTCTGTCTGCATCCAAGTCATCCACAGATTTTCCAGGAAAGAAGACTTTCAAGAGCCCTTGGGTCAGGCTTGGGGAGAAATCTTTGTACCTTTGATGCAGCAAAGAGCATGTCTTTGACAATTATAAAAGGGTTAGATATCAAACAAGAGGTAGAGCTCAGAACAATTATTAAACAAACTAATGTTGCTCTCTCCTGCAATAAGCTACTAAGTTCACTATAAAACATCACATAGTGCTCAAAGACAGAAATTTTTAATTCAAATCCATTAAGGCTGGCTACCTGAACTGCAGCTTGTATGTCTGAAGTTTTAAGCTTGGCCTCGCAAATAGCAGTAACAGCTTCACTAACAAACTTGCTAAGGTTAACACTTCGCAACTCCTCCATCAGCCCTTCCCTCTGCTCTTCATTTATCTGCTTTAACTTTTTAATAACGGCTGTATTGCGCTTAATGCTGGAATCTAGTGTCCTAAGGAATCCTGAGTCTAAAACCAAAAGCAAACAGTTTGATTTATAAACCAATACTTCAAACCAAGCCCTAAAATTAAGACCTTGAACTATGAATCTTAATGGAATTACTATCCTACCAAGTTTTCTTCCAGTTGATGCAGTTAAAAAGGAGAGTATCACAAAAGAGTAGGGATTGATTTATGTTGCCGAATCATGCTTATTCATTTTATTAAAGACCAATCACTTCAAAATCTTTACAATTCTAATAACCAGCTGTTGACTATGTGGCATAGAAAACCGCACCGTCTAATCAAATTTACTAACCAGGCCTCTCAGGATTCAAGTTGCTTTGACGAAGGGCCATTTTTGCCTCAAATGACTTCTTCATTTCCTCAAGACGAGCAATAGCTTCCTGCAAATGTAATAAATAAATAAAAATACAACAATTATGTATCACTGTAATTCTCATTTTTATAGAGAAAATCCTCAACAAACAAACGAACGTGTAAAAGTAGATTCAAATGTATATATTAACAGAGTAAGTAGCATCACATCACCTCATCATCCTGCTTGCCTTGGTGCTCACTTCCGGCCCGACATTCTTCCTCATGGTGATCCATCTCACTGTTTAAGTTTCAATGAAATAAATACCTAGTCAATCTTAGCACCTCGAAACAATATGAATTAACAAAGAGCTAAATCGGATGATTATGCTTTCCTAAAATCAAACACTAACTTATAGAAACCATCAAAATCGCTCAAAACGGGATGATTATGCCTTCCTTTACAAATAAGATCCAATTCTTTCTCTTTTTAAATAAATAAATAAAATAAAATAACATTATATCCAGCAAAGAAATGAATAAAACACCAAACAAGCACTGTTCTGTGCTCAATTTTCATGGAGAAATCAAAAGGTGATGAGTCTATAAATTGATGCACGCCTTCTTCCGGATATTTCTGTTTTCGCACATATAAAGATAAATGATAAAGAGTAGAACTCGAAACGATAGAGAGAGAGTTAGGGTTTTTACCTGCACTGGTATGTCGCCGGAGAAGTAAGGAAGACGGTGAAGGACAACTGCGTAGTCGTCTGTGTAGTGTATGTGTGAAAGTTCAGAATTAGAAAGACGGGAGAAAGATGGAGGTGTGACTTCTGGTCCCGGAAATTACAGAACGAAACCGGCTCTCGGGAACTGAAACTTTCCGGATTGCGTAGCGGGTTAAACCCGATTAAGAACCTCGTAAGTGGGCCCTACAATGCACTGGGTTTTCTTCTCAGACAAAAATGTATGAAAATATTCTGTCACACTTTTCCATGTACTACCATACCATTTTTTTTTTAACAAATTATAATTATTTGAACGATTCTTCTATTGGAGAGTATGGAGTAGAATGAGGAAATCAGAAAATCAATCTCTGCACTATCACTGCAGAGTTATTTACAGAATGTATATATTTTTTCCTTGTACAGTAGCGTCTTTCTAGGCTTCATTATTGGTACCAGTTTGTATATATGATTAGCATCCATAGTAATGAAATGCAAGGCAATTAGCACAATTCGCTGCTCCATACTCTGTTTTCTCATGGTATCAGAGCAAAGGAATCTAAATTGACAGCAAGGTTTTGCTGCAATAGCAGGTTAGAACAGCAAGTTTTGCTGCCCTGAGGAATCAATGATGATAGATAATGACCAAGCCAAGAAAGGACCTGGGGGAGCAAGGGGAGACAAGGCTGCCCTCAAGACAACAGATCTGGACTCACCTTATTATCTTCATCCCAGTGATGATCCTGGCAAGGTTCTAGTCACATCTCCTTTAACAGGAGAAAACTTCCATACATGGAGGAGAGCGATGCAGAATGCTCTATATACAAAGAACAAAATGGGGTTCATTGATGGAACTCTTAAGAAGCCAAGTGCAGATTGTCCAGAATTTCTGGCACTTGGACGAAGTGTAACTCCATGGTATTGTCATGGATATTGAATGCTCTCTCAAGGGAATTACATGGCAGTGTGGCTTATGCGGAGAGTGCAGCAGAGGTCTGGGAAGATTTGAAGGAACGTTTCTCACAAGGAAACACATCCCGGATATATGAACTGAAGCTCGAGCTCGCAACAACCACTCAACAAACAAGATCTGTAACAGCTTATTTCACAAAGTTGAAACCCATTTGGGATGAGTTGTAGGCTCATGAACCTGTGCCAACATGTACTTATGGCTGCACTTGTGGTGCAACAAAGGAGTTTACAAGGGCACGAGAGACTGAGAAGGTTCATTAATTTCTCATGGGCTTGAATGAGAATTTTTCTACCATGCGCTCACAGATCTTGAATATGGAACCATTACCATCTCTCAACAAGGTTTACTCAATGGCCACAAAAGAAGAAAAACAGCAAATGGTGTCTGCATCTAGAAGTCCAGCTATAGAGGCAACGGCTTTAGCAGCAAAGACAAGTTATAACAGAAAGGTGAGCACATCAGGGAAACCACGTTGTGATCACTACAAAAGGATAGGCCACACAAAGGAAAGATGCTATGAAATAATAGGCTATCCAGTGAGTTGGAAACCAGGACAAACGAAGATGAGGGGTAAGGGGGAGCAGCAAAAACATCAGAACACAGATAAGGATGTGATTTTCGCAGCAAATGCATCACTTGACCCACAGATGACTGGAGGTCAATTGGATCAATCACCAATTACAGGACTTACCAAGGCGCAGTATGATCAACTCCTCACGCTTCTTGGTGGTAATTCTGATTCTAAACAATCTATCAATCTTGCTGGTAAGACCTCACATTCTTTTCTTTCTTGGATAATTGACAGTGGTGCATCTAATCACATGACACCACACTTTTCCATACTCCAGGACACAAGGCCTTACTCATCACCTATTTACATCCCTAATGGATCCACCCTAGATGCATCTCATTTAGGAAAAGCCACTCTGTCAGATAAACTTACTCTAGAAAATGTTCTGTGTGTCCCTCAATTTACATGTAATCTTCTTTCTGTTAGTCAGATAACAAAACAACTTAACTGTGCTGTAATTTTCTTCCCTGATTTTTGTGTCTTCCAGGACCTAGCCTCGAGGAGGTTGATTGGAATGGGTAAGCTTCGTGATGGGCTCTACTATTGTGATTTTGGGCATGTAGCAGCCACTAGTCATACCAAGAAGGAGGACACATCCTTGGAGTTATGGCATCAACGGCTTGGGCATGCACCTCTAGAACGACTAGCCAAAATATCTTCCTTACCTTCATGTTCAAATCAAATAAAACATGTTTGTGATGCTTGTCATCGAGCTAAGCAAACAAGACTACCTTTTCCTATTAGCAATAATAAATCTGCTCATCCTTTTGCCTTAATTCATTGTGATATATGGGGTAGATATGCCACTCCATCTAACACTGGTGCACATTATTTTTTAACCATTGTGGATGATTGATAAATTTTTGTCATATGGTGGAAAACCAATTTCACACTCATGTGCAACAGATTCGAAGTGACAATGGTAAAGAATTCACTGAAGGGCAAGTGAAGGAATTTTGCTTTAAGAAGGGAATTATACAACAAACTACATGCACATATACACCTCAACAAAATGGGGTTGTCGAAAGAAAGCATCGTCACCTTCTTGAGGTAGCACGAGCTTTAAGATTTCAAGCCAATCTACTATTAAGATTTTGGGGTGAATGTATCCTCACTGCAGCTTACTTAATCAATTTAACTCCTACACTTGTGCTTTCAAATTTCACACCATTTGAAAAACTTTTTCAAAAGGCTTCTAAATATTCACATTTAAGAGTGTTTGGGTGCCTTTGTTATGCACACAATCACTCTAAGGATCGTGGAAATTTTGATTCTTGAGCAACAAAATGTGTGTTCATTGGCTATCCTTTTGGGCAAAAGGGATATAGACTTTTTGATTTAGAAAGCAATCAAATCTTTATTTCACGAGATGTGGTTTTTT